CCCTTTTCTGGCTCCCTAGAGCCTTCGGCTGAATTTCATAGCCAAGGGCATCTTTCCGCACCCACCCTAGGGAGGCATCCTCTGTCCCCACAGTCCTGCGCGACTTCCACACGACAGTCTGCACCAGCCTTTGCAGTGATCCAGGTTCTCTGGCCCGCCACCCAACTCAACCCCGAGGACAGAGACAGGGTGTCATTCACCCCTTATGCTCAGCTCCCAGATCACACCACGTGTTCAGATAACGTTTTTAGAATGAATAAAGTTCAGAGAAAAAGAGCCCCGCCCAAACATCCTAGTGACTCCCAGAAATTTCTCCAAAACACATTAAAGGAATCTCTCTGCCTCCCCCAATTTCGCTAAAGGCCCCAAGAAAATTCATTAGCGACGTTCTAGAAACTCTCAAAGATCCCCGTAGGGAAACCTAAGATTGCCCCTCCTGGGACTTCGAGAAATAGCCCTTCGGTGCCCCTTCTCACGTTGGAGACCAGGAGTCCCTCAATGGACAGCATGCAGTCTGCGCTTGCGCACTTCATCTCCGCTCCCTGTCCTGTTGCTATGGCAACGCCTGGCCTGGAGCTAGAGGCTGGGGAGACTGAGACCCTGGGCTCAGGGCGCACGCGCTTTCCCTCCACCGCAGAGGAAGTCCCACTCCTCCTCTGATTCCGGATAGGCGGTTGGCCCCGCCTTCTCGCAGGCCCCGCCCCTAAGGCCTGGCGCTGATTCCCGCTGGGACGTTGGGGTACTCTGCGGGTCCCTCAGGCCCCGGCTCAGGTGCAATTAGGAGGGGAACAGATGGCGGCCCAGACGGTGGTTGGGGAGGGTCCGGCCAGGGTTCTAGGGCCCTGGGGAGAGGGACTCACCTTCGGGAGGAGGCAAACGAGAAGTGGGCGGGGGTGTTGGGGGAGAAGTTGCGAGGGCTGTCCAGGGGACTGCTACCTGTAGCGGAAAGACGGGAATCTTAAACTTGGTATGGGAGGCAATCCCACCAGGCCTCTCAATCCTCGAAGCGGGTTGCAAACAGCAGCTCTTCCCCTGTTTAGTCTAGGCCCACCCACGTATGAGTGGGCCACGCCCCTTTAGCTGTAGCCCCGCCTCTCTAAGCTGTCATGGTTATCGAGTCAGCCCAGCCCCTCTCCAGGCGGATTGTGTCTTCATCTGCGATGGCCCCGCTCCTCAGGTATGGTTCCTCCCTTCAACCCCATCCTCCTTACAATCTTGCCCCGCCTGGGCCTCCGCCTACAAATGCCCCTTCAGCCGAATGACCACGGCCACGCAAGGATGGTCCCGCCCTCTGCCCAATCCGGGTCCTCCTCTGTTCAGTCCCCGCCCAGTCCTGCCGCATGGACACGCCCCCAGCCTGTGGGCACGCCTCCTCGAGTCTGGTCCACACCCACCACCTGTGTCTCACCCAGGTGTCCAGGCAGTGGGGAGTGGGGTCGCGGCAGCGTGGGCGAAGTGCTGGTCAGGATGAGGCTTTTCCGGTTACTGGTGCGGCAGCTGCGGGGAAGGCGAGGCAAGGGGACCAGGCCGGGCCGCAGCCCAGTGAGTTTGTGCGCCCGACCAGACACCTTCCCGCCTCAGATCCCCGTCCGTCTCCCATCTGTGTGTGCTTGGACGTGCCCCCAGAGGATTGCTCAGAGGAGGGGGTGATGGAGGCCTAGGAGGGACTGTGTATGGGAAGGGATGTGCGTGAGGCATGGGTGTGCAAATGAACCGGTGTGCATCATGTGTGACCATATGGGGTACAGTGTCAGTCATGGAATGATAGACATGTTACCTTTGTGACACCACTGGGGATACTGAGTGTATGTGTGTCTTTGGGGCTGTGTGTGAGATCCTCTGTGTGTAGCCACGTGTGGCGCCCAGTGTGTGAGTTCAGCACTGGATTGGGTTTATCTAATGTGATACAACCTGTACCTGGTGTGTCTGTGTGAAATAGCGTGTAATGCCACTTGTCCATGACTAGATGTGCCATTGTGCGCTCTAGCTCGTGTGTGCATGGTTTCTGCTACATGTGTACTGCCCTTGTGTATGTGTGTGACACTCCCCATGTGTGTCCATGTGTGGCCTCTACTGTGTATGAGTTTCACACCCGGTGATAATGGGCATGTTTGAGCCTGCCACCGCGTGTGACGTTCCCTACGTGAGTCTTCCATGTGATACCGTATGCTATTGTGTGTCTCTCCGTCTCCGCAAGATTCCCTGTGTCATTTAGCCCGACACCTGTGTAACACTGCATGTGACACGCTGAGGTGACATCATGTGCTGTGACATTGTTGGGTACATAGATGCTATTGCCATACATGTGTCTGTGTGCATCTTGGATGCCATAATCGTGTGGTGCGTATCATCATGCACGTGACGTCTTCCTAGGTGTACACAACACTGGACCCGTGAGGTTGCTCACCTGTGTGTGACGCTGGAGGTGCCCCTGTGTGTCTGGACATGACTCTGACCTACGGCCACTGTATGCGTGATGCCTTCAGGGTGTATCTGGGCCACTAGGGCTGTAATGTGTATATGTGTGTGACATCATGTCCTACGTGATGCTCTGTGTCACTATTTTCCGTATGAGGCTGTGTTCTTGGTGGGGGGTAGCGTGTGCTATGATAAAGCCCCCCCTCTTTCCTTCTGCGCCTCAGGATCCCAGATTCTGAAGAGGGAGCCCCCAGCCTCTCCATTCCCCTCACCCCTGCCACAGTGACTGAGCACATTAGCGAGGCCAGGAACACGCGGCATGGGGGCGGGGGGAGGCCAGGCTGCGGCTATTGTTCCGAGGGTGCCAAGTCCCCCACCCTCCCCTTCTTCCCCTACCCCCACTGGGTTGCCGGAGCCTGCAGCGCCAGCAGACAAAGGCGCCGCAACCCCCCCCCCCCAACGAACCGGCGCAGCCTCCTCCCCCCGCAGCGGTCCTCTCCGGCGGACATTGCCCCCATTCTCGGCCCGCACTGTCCCCCAATTCAGCCCCATCCCCTGCAGAAGGCGCCGCACGGGCACCTCTGGCGCAGCTGGACCGGGTGCAGCATCCCGGGCCCCGCCCTGCGGCAGCGGCCCGAGGGGCGGCTTTAGTGGGGAGGGCCGGGTCAGGGTCTGAGGGATGGGGTTCTACCTCTTGGTGCGACGGAACATACTGCCACCAGGGAAGGAGGGCATCGAGAAATTGGAAAGCGCTGTCCAGAGAGAGTCAGACATGACCCGGCGGCGGCGACATGGTGGCAGGTGCGGCAGTGGCGGCGGCGGCGCGGGGAGCAAGCGCGCGGGGCGGAGGCTGGAGCCGCAGCGGGCAGGGGAGGGCGGGGGAAGGGAGGGCCGTGCCGCTGCCGCCCGCCGGGAGGGGGCGCTGCTGCCCACCAGCGCTCCAGGCCCCGCCCGCGCGCGCGCCTGGCGCCCTCACCCGGACTCGAGAAGGGGCACCCAGCCCTGCGCATCTCTTCCCAAAGCTCACCTGCTGCTTTTCCGGGGCAGAGGCAAATCCTTCTAGAAGGCAAAGGGGCAAAAGGATAGAGGTCACAGTGGACCAGCAGCGGCTGTGTGCGAGCCCTGTCATCCTATAGAGGAGTAAAAGCTGGGTGGGAAAAGCTACTCGCCCGCATCCTCACCCACACGTAGGTGATGCACGGAGGGCAGGGCTCTTTGAGGGAAAGGGTATCAGGGTGATTTCTCTCCCGACCCCAGACACCAGCAGAGCCCCATATAGGACTCCTTCGTTGGCATCTCAACGTGCGTGTGTGCAAACGAAACAGGAGCCTATGTGAAAAACATTTCTTGAGCACCTACTGTATGCCAGACTCTGTGCTAGGCACTGAGGACACAGCAGCACAGCAACAAATGAGGAAAAAAACTCCTGCCCCTTTTGGGACTAGCATTTAGAGAAGGGAAGCAGACAATAAACAAATTAACACAGAAGATAATTTTAGATGGTAATAAGTGTGAATAAAATTAAGGTGATATGATGAAAAGTGGCTAGGAGGAGGACTCGATGGTCAGAGAGGGCTGCTCTGGGGAAGTGACTCTTAAGATAGTTGTTGAAAGAATAAGAGCCAGCTATGGAAGAATCTGTGGAGAGAGCATTCCAGGTAGAAGGAACTGCCAAGGCCCGGAGACAGGAATGAACTTGGTATGTTCAAGCATGAAAGTTGAATGAATGAATGAATGAATGAATGACTCCACACCCCAAGGGTTCTACCTCACAGATTCAATGTTGCAGGTGGGGTGGTTAGGGCGGCTCAAAACTGAAATTTGAAATGGGAATCAGACGATGGCCGAGTGGTCTTTTTTGATAATGGTAATGATACCAGTTGCTAATGTGTGTCCACACCAGAAGAAGGTTGTGTTCTGTTTGTCAAGCACTCAGCAAGGCACTACAGGGATTAAAAGTTATGGAAGTCTGTGCCCTCTTCCCAGGAAAGCAATGGGCAGGAGTGCCACCTTCCAGCCAGTTCAGTGTCCACAGGCCAAAGTGAATAAAGGAGGCTGGGTAGGGCTGTAGATGGAAAGATTCTGGTGAGAGTTTCAAAAGCATGGTTAATGTGGACTCTAACCAGGGGAAAATGAGGAATGTTTTAGATCCTTTCTAGGATCTCTGAAAGCAGAAAGCTCCAGATTCAAATCTCAGATTTGCCTCTTATAACCTTGGCAAATGACCTTCCAACAGTCCATTCCTTCTGGAGGATTCTGTGAGATGATTCAAGTGCCTGGCACCTTAGCATGATGCCTAACGCATAGTAAGCACTCAATAAATATTAGGTTATAGAAGCGGGAGTTATTATGAATGGACATGCTGCTTGACAGAGGATGGGCCAAAGGTCCCTCCCACTCCCATGGACGGAAGACAGACATATGGTTGGAGTCAAAGAGAACACTGTCCAGGTCTGCAGCCATGCCCTCCTGAGCCGCGGGTGACCAGAAATCCATTCCAGGTTTTCCCTCTGTTTTTGCAGGATCAGTTTGAATGAGCAGCAGCTGGGACCAGCCGGCTGGGTTGGGCGACCGCAATGGCCCAAGCGAAATCTAGACCTGGAGTTTTCGGCCACGGAGGCCAGGATTCCAGATCCAGGTACACTCGGCCTTCGAGGGTGAGCCCCTGGGGACCTTTAAATACCTCCCGAGTAGTCCTCAAACCTAGCCCCATTTGGTAGTGCTCCTAAATATTCCAGAGTCGAAGAAAAGGGCAAACTGCAGAAGTAGGGGATTTGGATCCTTGGCGTCAGAGTAAACAGAGGCCACCTCCACCACTAGCTGCGGAGACGCTCTGCCTAGCGGATTCTGCTTCTCCCCTCCCTCCTCCCGCCTTCCCCCCCCCCCCCCGTGATTGATGGACGGCGCTGGGAATAGGGCTTTCGAACTCAGGATGCTGTTCATATATACAATCCCCGCTGAACAAAATTGNCCCCCCCCCCCCCCGTGATTGATGGACGGCGCTGGGAATAGGGCTTTCGAACTCAGGATGCTGTTCATATATACAATCCCCGCTGAACAAAATTGGGGGCCCTCGGATGCTCCGCAGTTGGGGGACAGCTGGGGGACAGCTTCTGGGGGACAGCATCAGTGGGTGAGGGTGTATCCAAGGCAGCAAAGTGGTTAACCCTGCCAGAAAGGAAGAGGTAGGGGCAGGACTCCGGCGGGATAGCCTGGCCAAGGGGATGCCTCCGGATGGAACAGTGGGTGAGTGGGAGGATCCCAGGCTGGGGGCGGGGCCTTGAGCGTTAGAACGCCCGCGTGGCGCTGAGCCAATGGGAGTCGGCGCCGGCCCGGAGGGCGGGAACACACCGTCTTGTAGACGCCGCCCCTTACCGCTCTTTTCCTGGGGACTCGACGGCGCGGACCCAGTCTGACAGCTTCAGCACTTGCTCGGGCTTTTTGGCTGCTTTCTCCCTTTTCTCAGAACCCCTTTCCCCACTCCAGCACTAAGATGGGTGGGAATCCAGGGAAGTTCTCAAGAGCCGCCGAAGGCTCTTAGATGGAGCCTTCTGGGATCTGCTGGAAAGCAAATTAGCTTTCCAACCCAGTTCTGTCTCCAGCATCCTCCAGATACCTGGGAAGTCCCTCCTACCATCTGACTCTGATTTTTCCTGCTGCAGCGACCAATCAGCTCATTTTCGTCTCCGACCTCAGGGATGGTGGGTTAGAGGAGTCCAAAAGTGGACGAGGCCCTGGATGAGGGTTTGAATCCTCTCCTTCTTTGTCCAAGCTCCAGGCTAGGATGTAGCCTGAGTCTGGAGCCACCTAAACTTTATCTAAACTCCTCCAGATTATGCAGCGTGGGTCTGGGCTCCAAGGAGGCTCAGAAGGACCAGACCCCGGGCAGGCCTCGGGGTGAAGCTTTGATCAGTTTCCTTGTGGGGGGGGGGTCAGTTTAGGGGCAACATCGAACCCTAGTATTAACCCTTAGAAATGCAGGAAGAAAATGCAGGTAGAAAAGGACTCTTCTCAGCTTCAAAATCCCCATCCATCTTGAAGGTGGGAGTTCCTGACGCCTGGATTTCCCCACACTCCACAATCCTCAGTGTCCCACTCTGTGCAGTGGACTCACTCCCGCGCCTGCGCAGCCTGGAGACCAGTATCTCCTAAGGCTGCAAGGAGCTAAAAATCGCTCCCGCCCACCCACAAGCTGGGCTGGACTTGAGGATCTCGCGGAGGGGGGGGGGAGGAGGGAGGGAGGGGGTTAGTGAAGGGAGGGGGAATGAGGAGGGAGGCTGTCTAGGGTGTCTGTCCAATTAGGGCAGTAGGAAGAATCCTGGTGGCTGGGTAGATGCATGGAGGTCGCAGGGGTTCCCCATGCCTCAGAAAGGGGTTCCTGGGGTGGTGAGGGGAGAGGCTGCAGTATAAACATGTTTACTGCCAATGCAGCACCGGTTGCCCCGAGGGGAGCGAGCCCTGGGGCAATAACTTTGCTCTGCGCCCCCTCACCCCCAGATTGGCGTTGCGCCAGGGCGATGACTTCGGTCCTAGCCCCCTCCCCCTCTGGCGAGCCAGGTGCCCCTCAGGCTATCCTCGAGGGGGAGCGCTAGGCTGCACCCCCTCCGTCAGCTCCCTGGAGCCCCGGGCGGCGCCTGAGGGGCGGGGTCGCCAGCGCGGCGGGACGCGCGGCTACCGAGTTCCCCTCTGGTAGCGTCCCGAGGCCATGGGAGGGGGCGCCCCAGCCGGTCCAGGCGCAAGTTCTCCCGCCCCCTGCCGGGCCCCGCCTCAGGGCTCCGACCCCTTCACCGCCACCCGGGACCGGGGCCGCCGCGTACCTGCAGCCTCCGGCGGCGAATCAGGCCCGAATCGTCCATGGCGGCGGCGGCTTCGGCCCCGGGGAGGGAGGAGGGAGGTGGCGGTAGCGGCGGCGGCGGGAGGAGGGAAGAGGGAGGGAGTGAGAAGCCGCGGGGACCGCGGCGGCGGCGGCGGCGGCGGCGGGGGGGGGGGGGGGCGGGGGCGGAGCAAAGTGGGGCGGACCCGGCGCCGTCACTGCGTCTGGGCGCCCGAGCCCGGCCTCGGCCAAGGCTGCCCGCGCGGGGGGTGCGGGCGGGGGGTAGAGCTGGGAGGGGGCAAGCGAGGGAGGAGCTTCCATATACCCCCAAGGGAGCCAAGCTACGGAGAGACCCCTATAAGGAGAAACACTCCAGGAGAGAAACATGCGGGTGGATAGACCTCCAACCCAAGAAACACCCAAGGGAAACATTCTCACTAAGATATATTCCTTATGAGGGCACCCCCCTCCCCGCAGCGACCCCCTCAGGGAGACACATGCCCACGGATTGATAGTCTCCATGGGGAGGCCCTCTCCAATCAGTAACTCTCCCCTCACCCTGAAAATCATTCCTACGGCAGATGGTCTCTGAGAGGTGACGCTGCCTCTAAGAAGCCCCCTGCTGCCCCCAGGAAGAGACATTTCCGCAGAGAAAAATCCCCACGGATGAATGTGGGGAGCCTACTGAAGATATCCCCAACGAAAGGCCTCCTGAAAGCCAAATTCTTTGTGGGAAATTGCCCCCACCCACGAGACCCCCACATCCTGAGAAGATACATTTTCACAGAGTGACATTTACATTGAGGACACCCATCCTTGCGGGAGATGCTCCCACAGAAAAACATTTTGCATGCCTATACATCCCCCTTCCCAATCAGAGCCTCTTCAGGGAACCCTGCAGCCCCTCTAACGACCCCCTCCCTCACCGTCAGGATTAAGTAGCGAGGCCAGGCTGGGCTATATTTATAGGAGCGATTAGCTGGTAGTTGGGGAGGGGGGCAGCTGAAGCGATTTTCACACACACGCGCGCGCACACACGCACTCAGTGTTCCTACACAAGCCGAGTGTGCTTCCCAGAGTTGGTGCGGAAAGCGTAGGTGACCTCTCCACTCCAAGTCTAGGCATTGTGGAGTGGCAGGGTGGGAAGGGGGCTTCCCAAGGGTCCTGGCCCATAACTGGCCAGGAAGCCCCTGGAGGGCGCGGTCACCGAGGGGAGCGACCCCTGCCGGCCAATGAGGGTGACGGCAAGGTCTAGGTCCAGGTGTTCCCCAGACGCTTGTTTCCTCATCTCTGCGCCTTTGCCCGAGTTATCTTAGTAGTTTTCTCTGTTTGTCGACATGTTTGTTTGCCATCTCGCTGAGTCTGTTTCTCAAACTTCTCTGTCAAAGGCCCAGACTACGCTTTCGTCACCCACTCTAAATCTGGCTTCGCGGGAGCTCTCCGTGGTGCTGATCTCATGAGCTCCTGTCCACGGTGCTGAATTCTGAGGGCACCGTTGGGGGCTAAGGTCAGGGAAGGGAAAGGGTTGGTGAAAGGTATCGCCCAATGATTGGACATATCTGACACATGAGCACCCTGGACTACACCAAAATGGACGAGGGAAAGGTGAGATCCACTCTATCTTGATTGCTGAAGCCTATAGGACATCAGTGGGTGCCCCATTAGGGGCCAGGAGACATCACTTCCTTAATGGTTCATTTACTCAACACATACGGAGCACCCACTGTGTGTAAAATAGTGTTTTGAGATCTGACAGTCCCACAGTGAAAGAGACAGGCAAAAATCCTGCGTTAGGCTGAGAAGACAGGGAGATTTGTGGTAGTGGTCATTGCTCACAAAAACACATGCACACACTACAAGCACAGGCGCACACACACTACAAACATACACATAAACACGAACATACCAACACATGATCAGGATACAGACTCATATACACATAGTCACACACTCTGCAAATGTGTATTTCTCAAAAATACACACACATGCAAACACATTCTCAGCAAACACTCACACACAAACATATATACACATTGCAAATATGCACTTAGCAAACACAGACACACTGAATCCTATGCAAACACATAAACACAGAATGCAAACACAAAGTCAGCAAATACAGACACACACAAACACATATCACAAACACATATAGACATCAACTCACACTCTGCAAAGACACATACGCAAACACTGTAGTGTTAGAAAACATAGATACACACATACACAGCAAATACAAACACAAACGATATATATAAACACTCAACAAACACAGGCACACGCACACAATGCCAAAATCAATCTCAGCTCAGCTACACACAAACTCTCTTCCGAAATATAGACACAGTATCCTCCCAACACGACACATGGACACACACACACACACACACACACACTCAGGTACCCACTGCAGGGTTGTTCTTCTTACCAGACTCGCCCACTAGAATGTCAGCTCTGTGAGGTTGAGATGTTCATTTCTTGGTCACTACTTCATCCCCAGAACATGGGACACAATAGATACTCAATAAACATTTGTTGAATGAATTGAGGGAATGTTTGTAAGAAATTCGCATTCACAGAAACTGCAGAGAAACACACACACGTTTCCGATGCAGACACACTCCCTCTCCACACACACCAACACTCCTTTGTGTTCACTAATGGTCAACTTTCATGGTCACCAACCTTTATCCACTGACTTATCCACAACATTCTCACTGGATAGCCATCCTAATCCTACTTCCCCCTCCTTCACATTTATTATATCGTATTCAGTTGGGCACACTTAGCTTGAGATACATACAGGCCTCCTCGGCCAGATTTTGAACACACACACACACACACACACACACAGTGAGCCGAAAGTCACACATACCATACCATACCCTCACCCAACAAACATACATGCTCTACACACGCACAGCCATACAAACACACTCTCATCTCACACATATACACACAGATTGAGTTTAAGCCACAATCTCAATATAATGGTCAATACAGGATATACACGCAGCAGTCCCAGGGCCATCGGGCTTTGGTCAGCTAGAGCGGGGGGTGGAGCCGTAGGAAACTCCTCCTCTGCATCAGACCACACCCCCTTTGGCTGTCACTCTCTCGGACTTGACTCTGAGGTGTCTCAGCAGCGCCCTAGACCTCAGTCCACTTAACAGGTGAGGGGTAGGCCAAGAGGGCAGAGGAGGGGGAGGGAACTGTCTGATTTCCGCAGACCCTCAGCTTTCCCTACCCTGGGGCTTTTGGATTCTAGCGGCAAAACTCAAGTCCTGCCACAGCCGAGCTTGGCTCCAAAGGGCCAGCCGTAGTGGAAGTCCCTAAGCCGATTGTGTGCCGAGAGAAGGTGACCATGAAAGGGGCCAGCAGGGATCAAGAGGGAGGGATGAGACTGGGCAGAAGAGCAGGAGGAATTACTGGACAGAAGAGCGAGACTGAAAGATCTGGGGAGTCCCTTCAGTTCTGAAGACAACGGGGGTCACCTGAGGGTTGACAGGGTGGGGGATCCTTGTGGGTGTGAGGGGGGAGGGGCACCATGGTCAAACTAGAGGGTGGGGCACATTGGGCCTAAAGGGATGGAGGGTACATGAGTCTGATGGGGGGAGAAGGGGCTTCTGGGTCAGAGGCAGGACTTGATAGCCCCCTGGGATTTGAAGGTCCTTGGTCATTGCCTCCTCATCAACTGCTCATTCTCTGTTCTGTCTCACACTGTCTCCTGAGTACGCATCAGGAGGGTGCCACCCTGAGCTTCCAGAAAGGGACAGCCAAACCTCATCCCATACCCCAGCTTACTCTTATCTCAGGTGGATATGGCCTGCAGAGGCCACACTCGACCCAGGGGCCTGGCCTGGGCCCTGAGACTGACTCTGGTGTGGATCCTGCTGGGGGCCTGTGGAGGGAGCCGCCCACTCCCAGGTCTGTCCCGGAGACACCAAAGGCTGGCGACCGATCTCAGCACAGGCCAGCAGCACCTTGCAGGTGAGCACTCCGGACCCTGCCTAACCTCCAACACCCAGGAAACCCCATGCCACCATAACAATATCAAATTTTCCTTATGAGAGGGGCTTAGGATGAAACACGGTTGGGGGAGGTGGGCAGTCAGGGCTCGTACTGAAGAAAAGTAGTTAAAACGTAAAGATTCTGGAATCAGACTGCCCGGGATCAAATCCCAACTCTGCCACTTCATAATTGTGTGATTCAGCAAGTCACTTAATCTCTTTGGGCTTTATGGAGACCATTAAAAAGGGAGAGAAATATTAGACCTATCTCATAGGGGTGTTGTGAAGTTGTGTATGTAAGCATATGAAAACGTATACCACCACCAGGGACATAATAAATGATAAACTGATTATGATAAGTTATTATTATTATTCGAAATTGCATTTGGATACCAAGAGAAGTGTCTTTAAGTTTTATATTTGAGGAGCACTGACATAACTGGGGTCTCCCCTGTTCAAGGGACCCCCAGGCCTTGGTTCCCCAATCCTACCCAAGGATCTAAGACCCCACCTCACAGGAGTCCCCTTCTCCATGGTCCTGTTGTCCCTCAGAGATGGACACACCAGAGGCATCAGACCCTGGGACGGTCCCAAAACGCTGTGGGGAGCTGAGCCCTGGGTGAGTACAGTACCCGCCAGCGTTTCATTGTGTTTTTTGCTTCCGTTGTCCCCGCCAGGGGCCACAGCCCCGGACATCCTGACCCAAACGAGCCTGTCTTTCCCGATGTTCAGGTGCGAATCCTTCCTGGGACACCTCCAAGTTGCCCTCCACAGTCGCATCCGCCTGCTGTTACTGGGGATAGGCCAGCTGCAGCCGCTCTGTTCTGAGCTCTGCGATGTCTGGTAGGGAAGGCGGGGCATGAGGGGCGTGTCCTATGGGTTGGGCGGGATCTGCAGCTTGCTCGTCCTAGTGTTTGAAAGGGGCGTGGCCTGCCTCCAACAAGGCCAAGGTCTAAAAATGAGGCCCAGAGTTTAGAGACCAGGTAGAAAGGGACTGGGCCTGTAGAAGGGCCGGCTTTTAAGATTGGCAGGATGGAGGCGTGGCCTTCCACGGACCTGGGAGTTTTAAGGGGAGGGGCCTCTTGCTAGGAAAGCGAGCCAAAAAGATAGGGAAAGGGCTACCCTGAAATAGATGGTCTGAAGTCTGCAGGGTTGAGGCCGATTGTGACCGGGCCCCGGGTATGTGTGGAGAATACAGGGTAGGGTGAAATCGGGAGGGCGGCGTCTGGGGTGCGTGGCCCTAAGAGGCGGGGTCTGGGGGCGAGACAACACTGAGCGAAGCCTTGAAGGGCAGGGATCCCAACAGAACGGGACTGCGGAGACTTTACCCACCTTCTCTCCACACACTATCTGCAGGTTTGCAACTTGCGAAAGTGATATTACCTGCGGCCCAACTTGGCTCCCGTTCCCAGAAAAGAGGGGCTGTGAGCCTGGGTGCACTACCTATGAGCAGGTGAGCTTGAGAAAGAGGGTGCGGAAAAGAGACTGCGACGTCCCCTTACTATGTCCTGTCTTAACCGCTCTAGGCCCCGGAGCCTGGACAAGGCTCCTGCTGCCACCCTTCCCCCTTCCGCAGCCCAATCTTTAGGGATAGGTCTGTACGCTCTCTAGGGCCCATTGAGTCTGGATTTGGCCTTCCCGGGGGACTGTCTAGGCCCATCCACAGGAGAATCAGAAGCCCGAATCACCTTCCCTAAAGCCCCAGTCTTAATCTGGCCCTCCCCCACCCCAGCCCTGGGACCCAGGAAGAATAACTCGCCCTCCCCAGTACTCTGCTCTTGCTATGGCCCTGTCCCCACACTCCCGGGAGGACCTAAAGCCCAAAGCGGGTAACTGCCCGCCCCTAGGCCGCGCCTCTGTCCTGGTCCCTACTTGCAAAGAAACTCGGGGACTCTACTTTTCCAACGCTTTGTCCCCCAATTGCCTGGACTCCACCCCCTCGGACCCTAACTCCACCCCCTTTCCCAGACCTTCGCCGACGGGGCGGACCTTTGCCGCTCAGTTCTGGGCTACGTGCTGCCGGTGGCAGCTCCTGGCGCCGATCACTGCCTCAACATTTCCATCTCGGTACTGCCGGATCGCAGACACGAACGGAGGGCCCGGGAAATCAGTTCCCCGCGCTCCCGCCGCTCCCGCGCCTGGATCCTGGATGCCGTGGGCAGCGGGAGTGGCAGTGGAAGCGGCAGCGGCCCGTAGGGGGTGCCGGGCCTCGGACGAAAGATGCGTCCCTTCCCCCGAGCCGACCGACACCCAGAGCTCCACCCCTCTCCCTCTCTGCTTTCTAGTTCCAGAGTGCTGTCCCTCCTCCTGGAGTCCCAGAGACTAGCCCTTCTCTGGGTTATCAGACAAATAACCCAAATCTAGCTCATTTTCCCCTCTTCCCCCACTGAATAAAGTCGCCAGCTCGAGAATACTGTGATGCGGCTGCTTCTTGGGGAAACAGGCGCAAAGGACAGTTGCAAGTGAGAAGTGTCTCACTTCAGAGCCTTAGGTCTGAGAGTTAATAAGTGACTCACACTAGCATGTAAATGAGTCTATATTCTGAGCGATTTCACAGCTTGGAATATCCAGGTGTCAGAAATGGAGGGGAGTCCAAGAGAGGGGCTGACAGTAGCAAGAGGTATGCTCCCCAACTGCGTGCCATGGGGCCCAGGAAGCTCCTTGACTTGGCCAGGCCTCAAGACAAGCTTCATGGGCCCCCCCTCTGAGCAGACCCAACAGTGGCCGACATAATGCCCCCTTCATTCCTTCCTCCCTTTCTTCCAAATCCCAGTTCTAGACCTCAAAGGACTTGACTCAGATTTAAGATCTGGATGGAAGCATTACTCCCAACCCTCCTCCTCCCCCCAGGCCCTATGACAGCCACAGTTTTGTCACCAGTAAAGCAGGGGTAATGTGCCTCTTAGTTCCGTTCAATAGGACAAGATTCATGGATGGTTCCTGTGCCCAGACCCTGCTGAGTTAGGTAGATCAGGCCCATTCTCTGCTCTCCGGGAAGATGGAATAGCATAAGAGAAGCAAGAGAAACTCAAAGTACCTTTAGCCAACTGTGTTAAGCTTCAGAAATGGCTATATCTAGGTCCTTAAATGAGGTTAGGAATCTTCTTCTTGGCTATACTTTTGGACAGGATCTCCTCAGAGTAGCAAAGATGAACCAGCAACTACGTGACTCCAGTGGGTCTATTTCTCTGTAAAACCAGCAAAGTTTCCAGTGCTGGCACTCAATGATCCAGTTTGATCATGAGCCCATAACCAAACCAACCACTGTGCCCCGAGGGATGCTGTGTTCTCGCTGGCCTCATAATGGGTCATGGGCTTGTGCTGGAAGGCCCAAGGTGAGCTCAGTTCCATTTAAACTGTATGGACTGAGGAGGTGGGGATGCAGGAGGAGTGGCCCCGAAGGAAAATCAGGTGTTGGAACCAGAAGAGAAAGGAGTGCCAGGCAGGGAGTCACGCTATATTGGGCACAGAGACTGCGGGCTATGACCCTGACTCTGTAGTAGGTCTACGAGGCTCACATCCCAGTTCTACCGTTTCCTCATGCTGTAACTTTGGGAATGTTGCCCAGCCATTTCCAGTTTGTTTCTTTATCTGTGAAACGGGGAGGAGAACTTCCTCTCTCCTAGGGCTGTTGGGTGAAATCAATCAGTTAATGCAAGTTGCTCTGGTTGGACAGTGCTGTGTAACACCTCCAGACTTAGCGGTGTGAGATGACATTGTTTCTTTTTTCATGGTTCTGGTGGTGGCTCTTGTTCAATCAAGGTCTCTAATGCAATTACAGCAACTGGTTGGGGCCAGGCTCACCCAGAATTGCCAACCAGAATCGCTACTCCTGGCCTCTCCCTGTGGCTGGGGCCTCCTCACAGCACGGCAGCTGCGCTCCAAGAGAGCTAGGTTGAAGCTGTCTCCTATCAAGGTTGCCTCCGCTTTCTGTTCACTGAAATTGCGTTGCTAGAGCCGGCTCAGATTCAAGGGGAAGCATCCAGACCCCACCTCCTAATGGGAGAGGTATCAAGCAAAACACTTAGAAAGCGCCTGGCACATGGGGTGCCTGGGTGGCTCAGTTGGTTAACCGTCCCAACTTCAGCTCCAGTTATGAACTCGGGTTTCATAAGTTCGAGTCCCGTTTCGGGCTCTGTGCTGACAGCTCAGAGCCTGGAGCCTGCTTTGGATTCTGTGTCTCCCTCACTCTCTGCCCCTCCCCTGCTCACAATCTCTTTCTCAAAAATAAATATTAAAAAAAAAAAACAAAAAAAACAAATGGGGCACCTGGGTGGCTCGGTTAAGCGTCTGACTTCAGCTCACGTCACGATCTCGCGGTTCGTGGGTTCGAGCCCCGCATCGGGCTCTGTGCTGGCAGCTGGCTAGGAGCCTGGAGGCTGTTTTGGATTCTGTGTCTCCCTCTCTCTCTGACCCTCCCCTGTTCGCGCTCTCTCTCTCAGAAATAAATAAAACATTAAAAATAATAATAAAAAAATTTTTTTTAAAAAGCATTAAACTACAGGATACTCACACTGAGGACTCTTAGCTACAAAGAGAATGAGGAAGGTCTTTAGATGCTCACTTTGGAATTCCCTCTGAGATGTGGGGAAGGAAGATGAATGTATAGGGGTTAGTTTCCATTTGTAAAAACAAAACCTCAAGAAAGTATCTACATGTATATTTGTAACTCTCCAGGGGAACTCTAGAAGGGTATGAAACATACCTGCTATGATCCAAATGTCTATTGCACACCCCCCCCCCCCCCCCCCCCCCCCCCCGCCAACTCACGTTGCTATCCTAATTCCCACAGATAATGGTATTAAGAGGCGGAGCTTTGGGGAGGTGATTAGGTCAAGAGCGGGATTAGTGCTCTTACAAAAGGGACCCCACCAAGGTTCCTTGCCCCTTGCCCCGAGTGGACACAGTTAGAAGTTGAAGGTCTACCCACTGGGAATGAGTCCCCACCAGAACCTGACTGTGCAGGCCCTGTGATCTTGGACTTCTGGCCTCTAGAACCGTAATTAATGCCTGTTATTGTAAACCACCCAGTCTGTGGTATTTTGTTATAGTTGCCCCAAAAGATTAGGACAACTTGGTGAGCTGGAAGGAGGGTATGAGGCTTCTCGGGGTGGGCCTTTTTTTTTTTTTTTTTTAAAGTTTATTGATTTGGGAGAGAGACAGTGCTCGAGCAGGGGAGGGGCAGAGAGAGAACCTCAAGCAGGCTCTGTGCTGTCAGCGCAGAGCCCCACGCGCCCCTCCGTGTACTCCTTCTTCCTAATTCTGCAGCCTACACATACATTATGAATCGAATCAAATCGGAGGGCCTGGGTGGCTCAGTCGGTTGAGTTCGGCTCGGGTCATGATCTGAGTCGTGAGATTGAGTCCCACCGCTGAGCATGCAGCCTGCCTGGGATTCTCGCTCTGTTCCTTCCCCATGTGCGAGCTTTTGCTCTCTCTCAAGATAAATAAAAATCAAATCAAATGAAATCAAATCAATCAGGGCCGATCCTGTTTAGATTCCCAAAGTCTGGGAAGTTCCCAAAGCGGCTGGGCCGGGCTGCACTGCACGCCTCCAACTTGTTTCCACCCCAGAGTTCAACCCCATGCTTGGCTTTCCTTAACTTTAATCACTGGGCGCCTGGGGGGCTCAGTCAGTTAAGTGTCCGACTTTGGCTCAGGTCATAAGCTCGCGGTTTGTGGGTTCACAGTTTCTGTGCCGACAGCTCGGAGCCTGGAGCCCGCTTCAGATTCTGTTCTGGGTTCTGTGTCTCCCTCTCTCTCTGGCCCTCCCCCACTTGCACTCTGTCTCTGTCTCTCTCGCTCGTTCTCAAAAATAAACATTAGGGGCACCTAGGTGGCTCAGTTGGTTAAGTGTCTGACTCTTGACTGTGGCTTGGGTCATGATCTCCCAGTCTGTGAGCTGGAGCCCCACATTGGGTTCTGTGCTAGCAGTGCGGAGCCTGCTTGGGATTCTCTCTCTGCTCCTCCCCGCTCGCTCTCGCGCTCTCTCAAAAAATAAAAAAAATTAAAAAAAAAAAAAACTTTAATCGCAAACGGGGGTGGGAGGTGGGGAAGGCGCAGAGACGAGAGACCAGGGCAGCCCCTAGAGAGCGGTGGCTGGTTCCAGGCCTCGTTCCTGGAAGTACCGGTGGGACAGGCGGGGGCGGACTCGCGCACCTTCGTTGAAGTAGGATGTGATCCTCCCAGGTCCCTCCAGATCCCCTGCCAGCAAGTCCTCCCTGTGGGAGAGGTGGCGACACGAGCCACTCTGGGGTGTTGGGGGGAGCCCTGGCCCCCTCCCTCCTTCCTCACCGCCCCTCCAGGGCACCCACCACACAACGTCTTCTGCCTCCTTCTCCAGGATGCTCTGGGCCGTGCGCCAGCTGAACCGGACAAACTGGGGGAAGCCGAACACGGGCTCCACATGCCTCCTCAGCCACGCTTTCGTCTTGGGATCTGAAAGACAGGAAGGGGTGGGGTGGGCAGTGGTTGACGGCCCCCGACCCCTGACACAATGTCCGAGTTCCTCAGGCCGGCACCTGGGGCCCCTCCGCTGCTTGAGACCATTCCTGCCTCAGGACCTTTGCACACGCAGCTCCCAGACTCGTCACCTGCTGACAGGTGCTCAAGGTATGGGTTTGGGGGGACCGCCTTTGAGACATGTCTTCGCCCACTCAAGTTCAACAGTCATAAAACCAGCATCTGCAGACCTGGGGGTTAATGCCCATCACCCCTGTGTAACTCTGAGCTCAGTGGGGACAGAGGTCCTTCTTTGTCTTGTTCACGGCTATATCCCCAGGGCCCAGATCTGCACGGCACATACAGTGAGGACTCAGCAGGCACTGAATGCGGCCCACTGTCCTCGGCCTGTACCTGGTTTTCTTACTTTGGCCTCACCTAAGTTCCCATCAGAGACCTGATATGTCTCCCCACGCCCCCATCTGCCCAACCTTCCCTGGGCCTCAGAAGGACCAGAGGGTTCCCTGAACCCAGCTACTGACTCTTTAAAAAATCTACCCAGGAAAGGAGGCGGCCACACGCTCATCTACCACACAGGCAAGGCCTCATAACTGGGAGGAAACAGTAGGCTGACGCGGGGACTATTGGACATGAGCTGACCTCCCTCACCCCTACCCCTTGCCCCTTAACAAATAAAGACGCCCACCAAGGGTGTGAGACCCTCAATGGGGCTCCAGAGTGACCGCAGGGGTGGAGGGAGAAGGGAGGAGAGAGCCTGCCCCGCCCCCCGGGGACTGGGGCTCTGCCAAACGCTGGCTGTAAGCACGCGGCCGGAAAGCCGCAGAAGCGTGCTCACGCCTGCCTGCTCAGCGCCACTGCCAGCATCGCTGTCCCAAGGCAGCTCCGGGCTGCTCACCATTGGGGTAACCAGAGCCATAATCGGCGTCCAGGTGC